CCTGCTGCTCAGTCCCTGCCCCCCCGGGCTGCGCCCACCGCTGCTCCCCCCGGCACAGCCCGGAGTTTCCCCCCTGGTGTTTTATTCCCCGTCTGAGCATCCGCCGGGTTTGGGGAGAGGGTGGAAGGGGGGGCCGAGCGAGCTCGTTGCATGGGAAAGCGGCCTTGCTTTTCATCCTGAATCCAGCGCTTCTGGCACCGGGATTCGCCGGGAGGGGACGGTCCGGGCAGGCAGCGGGTGTTTCTCTGCGCGCTGCCTCGTTTTTTTCCAGCACTTTGGAAGTGCTTTGTTGTGGGCGAGGGCTCTGCCCGCTGCGCCGGGAGTTGGCCCATGGGCTCAGAAGTCCCGGGCAGGGCTGGTGGCCCCGGGGCCAGCAGCGGGATCCCCAAAGCCGCCTTTCCTTAGGCACGACTTTTCCAACAACTTTCCAGCCTGGGAGAGCTCGCAGAGCCTCGGGCGCCAGGCTTAGCCGAGTCTAGAGCTGGAAGGGACTGGTGCCACCGGTGCCATTCCCAGTGGGGGCACAGGTCCAGTCCCACTGGGGACAATTTGAAGCTGGCAGTGCTGTCCCCTCGGGGCAGCGCCGGCAGCAAAGTGCCCGGGGGTTTTATTTCTGCAGCAGTGACTGAGCTGTGGTCGCAGAGAGCGAGGGGAGCTGGTGTTGGAGCCCTGAGTGACAGTGGGGTGGGGGCAGGTCCCTGCTTCTCCAGGAGCAGCCCCAGTGCTTGCCCTGCCCCGGGGGCTGCTGCAGAGGTGCTGGGGCTGGTTTGGGGCAGTGGAAGTGAACCCCAGTCCTGAGCAGCCTGGCCCAAGGAGGGGAGCACAGGAACCTCCCCAACACCTCCAGGCTGAGAACAGGCCAGGTGTGACAGCACTGGCTAGGTGATCCTCTGCTGGGGTCTGCTTGGGGGAGGTCACTGCTCAGCAGCCCCCAGTGAGGGCCAGGTGTGGGCTGTGGTGCTGGTGGAAGCAACGGCCCCTAAACTGGTTTGGCCCGTTTGAAACGCTCCCTCTCGGCTTATCTGGCTTCAAAGGGCTCCTGCTTCATCCCACGCATACAAACATGCTCCCTGTGCACCCCCAACCCCCCCCAACCCCTCCTCTGATGCCTTCAACCCCCCCCCAATCCCCCCTAGCCCCCCCCCAACCC